CTCTTGTATGAGGAGTGGGCGAGTTACAGTGTATTTTACAAATACCAGCCTATCGGGCTAGTAAGGTGAGTGAAGGTTTCCTATTCTGAAACTGAACGTCTGTGGTTGTGTCTGAGATTGCTCTGTTCTTCCTCAATTGCTATCTGGTGAAGGTCTGTTTAGATCACAATGTCACATTATGTTTTAATGTTTATGTCAAATAAACCAAAAAAAATTTTATAATGGAGAAAGTGTTGCGCCCAACCTTCTGATGCAATATATTCTTCCTAATGCAGGAAATACTTTATACATATTCTATTTTATTTGATTATATTTATTCTATTATTTTATATTCTATTATTTTATATTCTATTCTATTTGAAAGATGAGATTGCTGTGTTGTTTCCTATGCAGGAAGTACTTTGGGGAGAAGATAGGGCTGTACTTTGCGTGGCTGGGGTTGTACACCCAAATGCTGATCCCTGCTTCTCTAGTGGGAGTCATCGTGTTCCTGTACGGCTGTGCCACCGTAGACGACAACATTCCCAGGTTAGCAACATAAGGCCCCATACACAGCCAAGGAAATAATCATTGGTTCTAGCCGGCAGAATCATAGGGCATGTCTGCCTGAGGTTACAATTCATACAATTAAGTAACTGTGTGGAAGGTGCCTAAGACGATTGAAATTATTGAAAAACACCGAATGGAAAGCCGGAGACATAGCTCAAGTAGAGGTATGACCTCATCCTGTTCAGACATCCAATAGTGAAATATTGTAACAGACAGCTTTAGGCTGTAGAGTAGTTTACAGTAGGATGTTGTGACAGCTTTAGGCTGTGGAGTGGTTTACAGTAGGATATTGTAACAGCTTTAGGCTGTAGAGTGGTTTACAGTAGGATATTGTAACAGCTTTAGGCTGTCGAGTAGTTTACAGTAGGATATTGTGACAGCTTTAGGCTGTAGAGTGGTTTACAGTAGGATATTGTGACAGCTTTAGGCTGTAGAGTAGTTTACAGTAGAATATTGTAACAGCTTTAGGCTGTCGAGTAGTTTACAGTAGGATATTGTGACAGCTTTAGGCTGTAGAGTAGTTTACAGTAGGATATTGTAACAGCTTTAGGCTGTGGAGTGGTTTACAGTAGGATATTGTGACAGCTTTAGGCTGTAGAGTAGTTTACAGTAGAATATTGTAACAGCTTTAGGCTGTCGAGTAGTTTACAGTAGGATATTGTGACAGCTTTAGGCTGTAGAGTAGTTTACAGTAGGATATTGTAACAGCTTTAGGCTGTCGAGTAGTTTACAGTAGGATATTGTAACAGCTTTAGGCTGTGGAGTGGTTTACAGTAGGATATTGTAACAGCTTTAGGCTGTAGAGTGGTTTACAGTGGGATATTGTAACAGCTTTAGGCTGTGGAGTGGTTTACAGTAGGATATTGTAACAGCTTTAGGCTGTGGAGTGGTTTACAGTAGGATATTGTAACAGCTTTAGGCTGTGGAGTGGTTTACAGTAGGATATTGTAACAGCTTTAGGCTGTAGAGTGGTTTACAGTGGGATATTGTAACAGCTTTAGGCTGTGGAGTGGTTTACAGTGGGATAAGAACACACAATATAGAGAACTGTGCCATGGTAACTAACAAGGTCAAAACTTGCCGCAAGGCCAAAACTAGAACAAGCAGACATTTAAACGGTTTATATTCAATACTTATTAAGACCATTTATGTCTAATACAGTATTTAATATAGCCATCAACTTGTTCCCAGTTCAGAATACCTGCCTCGCGCTGTACCTCTGTCCTGTCCCTACTCTCTGGCTCGTGACTAACGTCTTAAATCATCTTCACTTCCTGCCAGCATAAATAATGCAGTTTAATAAAGTATTTATAAGGTAGACCAGGTCACTTTCCTGCTGCCTGATGTCTGAAGCTCTGCCTGGCTTGGCTTGGCAGTCCACAACTATAAAAAGGAAACGTGTTCCTATACGGAGACAGAAGAGGGACAGAAGAGGTGATTTGTGATGTCCAACATCTGGTTGATGTAGATGACAAGAGGAAATTAAACTCCCCCCTGGCTAACATCTCTTATGTCCGTCAGGATAGTTTGACACACTCTGCTGTTTGTGTCCTGATCCTCTGCCACTGGAGCGCCGCTCCCAATCCTCCACAGACATTAGATCTTATTACAGTTAGCCTGACTCACCGGTTATAAAAAAACAAGAATGGAATATACTTTTAAGATCTGACTTAGCCTCGAGCTCCAGCGGTCTACTTTGTGGAGCTTCTTATTCGTGAGACTAGACCTAACTAAACTACATAATCCAGATTATTGTATAAATATGATCATGAATAGTATTTTAAGCAAACGTAGAGATTTATTTGAAAAAACTTTTACTGCATGCGACCCTAAATTGGCACTTGAAAATAGTGAGGACCCCACTTGAAAATAGATTATACTCCCTAGTTAACGCTGTGTGTTCATATTCACAACATTGTTGGTCCTTCAGGTGGTCTCAGCTCATTATAATGAGATGAAAGCTAATTCTAATACTGTAAAAAGTCATTAGTTCACACTAAAAGGTTGTATTCTATTCCCATTTAAAGATATAAAAGTTATTAATTTGTTTCATACAATATCAGATTTTCATAGGGGAAATTTCAATTTCAGGGGACCCCACATGGGGTGCCGACCCCAAGTTTGGGTGCCACTGCTCTAGCTTGACAGGCTGACATAATAACACCCACTGGTGGTAATCAAATCAAACCAAGCTTTATTTATACAGCACATTTCAGACATGGAATGCAATGCAATGTGCTTCACAGGAAAGAACTAAATAAAAAACTATGAAAATAAAATATGAAATATTTACTACATAACAAACATAAGATACAAAAAAAAGAATGGCACAGACTGAACAACTAAAAAACACCCTGAGGAAAAGCAAAGCTAAAAAGATGTGTTTTAAGATCTCTTTTAAATATGTCCACAGTTTCAGCCCTCCTCAGGTTCTCTGGCAGGCTATTCCAGAGTCTGGGGGCATAGTAACTAAAGGCTGCCTCTCCATGCCTCTTGGTTCTAGGCTTTGGGATAGTTAAAAGGCCAGTGCCAGAGGACCTGAGGGACCTACTGGGTACATAACTTAAAAGCATGTCTGACATGTATTGGGGTGCACAATCGTGGATTGATTTAAAAACCAATATAGAAGAATCTTAAAATTAATTCTAAAACTCACAGGCAGCCAGTGCAGAGACCTTAAAACCGGTGTAATGTGTGCTCTCCGTCTGGTCTTGGTCAGTACCCGTGCTGCAGCATTCTGTATGTTTTGCAGTTGACCAATGGCTTTCTTGGGTAGACCAGACAGGAGAGCATTACAGTAGTCAAGACTTCTTGTATCTCTGTATCAGCCTGAGATAGAAACGGCCGCACCTTGGCAATGTTCCTCAGGTGGTAAAAAGCTATTTCGGTCACATTCCTAATGTGTGATTCGAAATTTAGTTCAGAATCTAAAATAACACCTAGATTTTTACCCTGTGTTTTATCTTTATTGCCCGCTAATTAAAATGTGCTGCCAGATTCTCTCTCTGTGCTTTGGCTCCAACAATAAGTACCTCAATCTTGATTTAGCTGGAGGAAGTTGTGAGCCATCCAAGTATTTAAATCAGTAATACAGTCTAATCATTTATCCGTGGAACTAAAATGAAATAAAGAGGGCTGACTGTTGTATCCCCCCACCCCCATCCCCCTTCTCTACAGCATGGAGATCTGCCACCCCAAGAACACCATCACCATGTGCCCGCTGTGTGACAGAGCATGTAGCTACTGGAAACTGAAGGAAGCCTGCGGGACGGCTCGGGCCAGCCACCTCTTTGACAACCCTGCCACCGTCTTCTTCTCCATCTTCATGGCCCTCTGGGGTAAGAGGTTGAGGCTTGTCTACACAACAGAACAGAACAACTTTATTTATTTGTATCATTTATTTAACAGGGACAGTACTCAATAATCAACGGCCCTGCGATAGACTCACGTCCTGTCCAAGGGGGTGTACTTGTACATCAAGCTACCTCACATTGCAATGCTTAAAGGTCAGATCAATGCCAGTGGGCTGGACAGACCACAATATTGTGACCATAACCATGAACACCAAGGCTCCAAAGAAACCCCCAATGATTGTGGTCAAGAGAAAACAAATACACATTTAATTATGAGCAATTTCAAAATGATTTTGCTGCTGTACCCTGGGAATTAATTTATCTAGAGAATGAAAGAGTACAGTTGGGGATCGTCAATCTCCATGGATTGATAATGAACTGGGTGAGGTGTTTTCTCAAATAAATAGGGCAAAAGTCTTAGCAGCCAAATCTAAACTAGAAATGGATTAACAGAATTATAGAACACTACGAAATGATGCAGTTAAATTAAATCGTAAGAAAAATAACTTTATTTTACAAAAATGCTTTCATTGATTGTAAAAAATGATTAAAAAAAGGTATGGAATACAGTTAAGGGCTTACGTGGGACATCTATCTCATTTACATTATTTAATTTTTGTCATTTAGCAGACGCTCTTATCCAGAGCGACTTACAGTTATACATTATTGAGTGCATACATTATTTTTATTTATTTTATTTTTATATATATATATATATAATTTTTTTTTCATACTGTGGGAATCTACACCAGGATCTCTAGTGGCACAGCTAGCACTGCAATGCAGTGCTTTAGACCACTGCGCCACTCGGGAGCCACTCTCATCATGCCCATCTAGTGTGGAGGTTGACGGGAGAACAACATAAAAACCAGCTGACTTTGCCAATCATTTTGCTGATTGTTTTTCACAAAGAAAACACATTTACTGAGAGATAATGTAAACACCCAGTCTTCCAAACAAGCTATTGTCCAATAGATTGATGATCATATTATTATTATTATATGATTATTATTATTATTAAAAACAGATATTTTAGTCTACTGCTGGTGTCAGTAGAGGAGGTGTTAAACCTATTGAAGTCATTACCCAATGGTAAATCTACAGGTTATGATTTTATGGACAATTTTTTACTTCGCTACGTGGCTCCCCAGATTGCAGCTCCACTGACATACATAATGAATTGGTCACTGGAAAAGGGGCAATATCTTAATGTATGGAGGCATGTTAAACTGTGTCCAATCCCGAAAGACATCAAAGAACCCCTTACTCCTGCCAATAGTCGACCAGTCAGTCTACTCCCTTCAATAAGTAAGATATTGGAGGGTATTGTGAGTAAACAAATATGGGAGTACATGGAAAATCATGATCTGATCACAGCCAATTAGCATGCTTATCGCAAAAACCATTCCACTACCACGGTATTGGTTGACATGACTGACCAGTGGCTCAGTGCTATGGATAATGGATCATGGATCATGGATCATGGATCATGGATCATGGATCATGGATCATGGCAAGTTATTTTTTTTCTGTTCTTTTCTTCTTTATTTTATTTTTAACCCATCCACAACCCCCCCTCGTCGGAGGACACACACACATATATATATATATATATATATATATATATATATATATATATATATTATTTTTTTTTTACAGCTTTTCTGCTACATACATTTTACATATACATTTTACATGTACATTTTACATACACATTTTGCATACACATTTTACATACATGGTACTTTTATATACAGCAATCACATAACAATAATACATAAGTTCTTCAAACCCACTCCTCAGTCACTCTCAGCCCATCCCACCTATCACCATAGACCACACTCGTTTGGTTTCCATGAAAATGTATGCACTCACTAACTGTAAGTCGCTCTGGATAAGAGCGTCTGCTAAATGACAAAATGTAAAAATGTCAAATATATTTTTCAATTGTGCTGTGATGTTTTACATACATTTTGAACGTTTCTAATCGTATAGTATCCACAGATTTTGAGCTAAAGATTAAAACCTTTCCTACGAGTATTATTATATTATTTATTGACTGACTGACTACGGCTTTCCAAATCGCTCACAATAGCAAGTTTGTGGATGTACTATTTCTAGATTTTAGTGCAGCATTTGATTTAGTGGATCATGAAATACTTTTAACAAAATTACTGCATTATGGGTTTAAGGAGGCAGCATTGAATTGGGTCCAGTCACATCTAACTGACAGGAAACAGTCCACCTATATCGATGGGTTGTTTTCTTCCCCTCATGCCCTAGACTGTGGAATACCGCAGGGCAACTGCCTTGGGCCACTTCTTTACTTAATATATACCAACAGGGCCTCCCGAGTGGCGCAGCGGTCAAAGGCACTGCATCGCAGTGTTACAGGCATCACTACAGACCCAGGTTCGATCCCAGGCTGTATCACAACCAGACGTGATCGGGAGTCCCATAGGGCAGCGTACAATTGGCCCAGTGTCATCTGGGTTAGGGGAGGGCTTGGCCGGGGGGTCTTTACTTGGCTCATCACGCTCTAGTGACTCCTTGTGGTGGGCCAGGCACCTGCAGGCTGACCTGAGTCGTCAGTTGAACGGTGCTTCCTTCGACACATTGGTGCAGCTGGCTTCCAGGTTAAGCAGGCGGGTGTTAAGAAGCGCGGTTTGGCGGGTCATGTTTCGGAGGATGCATGACTTGACCTTCGTCTCCCGTGCCCGTTGGGGAGTTGCAGCGATGAGACAAGATCGAAATTGGGGAGAAAAAGGGGGTAAAATACAATATACAGTGGGGGAAAAAAGTATTTAGTCAGCCACCAATTGTGCAAGTTCTCCCACTTAAAAAGATGAGAGAGGCCTGTAATTTTCATCATAGGTACACATCAACTATGACAGACAAATTGAGGAAAAAAAATCCAGAATATCACATTGTAGGATATTTAATGAATTTATTTGCAAATTATGGTGGAAAATAAGTATTTGGTCACCGACAAACAAGCAAGATTTCTGGCTCTCACAGACCTGTAACTTCTTCTTTAAGAGGCTCCTCTGTCCTCCACTCGTTACCTGTATTAATGGCACCTGTTTGAACTTGTTATCAGTATAAAAGACACCTGTCCACAACCTCAAACAGTCACACTCCAAACTCCACTATGGCCAAGACTAAAGAGCTGTCAAAGGACACCAGAAACAATATTGTAGACCTGCACCAGGCTGGGAAGACTGAATCTGCAATAGGTAAGCAGCTTGGTTTGAAGAAATTAACTGTGGGAGCAATTATTAGGAAATGGAAGACATACAAGACCACTGATAATCTCCCACGATCTGGGGCTCCACGCAAGATCTCACCCCGTAGGGTCAAAATGATCACAAGAACGGTGAGCAAAAATCCCGAACCACACAGGGGGACCTAGTGAATGACCTGCAGAGAGCTGGGACCAAAGTAACAAAGCCTACCATTAGTAACACACTACGCCGCCAGGGACTAAAATCCTGCAGTGCCAGACGTGTCCCCCTGCTTAAGCCAGTACATGTCCAGGCCTGTCTGAAGTTTGCTCGAGTGCATTTGGATGATCCAGAAGAGGATTGGGAGAATGTCATATGAAACCAAAATATAACTTTTTGGTAAAAACTCAACTCGTCGTGTTTGGAGGACAAAGAATGCTGAGTTGCATTCAAAGAACACCATACCTACTGTGAAGCATTGGGGTGGAAACATCATGCTTTGGGGCTGTTTTTCTGCAAATGGACCAGGACGACTGATCCGTGTAAAGGAAAGAATGAATGGGACCATGTATCGTGAGATTTTGAGTGAAAACCTCCTTCCATCAGCAAGGGCATTGAAGATGAAACGTGGCTGGGTCTTTCAGCATGACAATGATCCCAAACACACCGCCCGGGCAACGAAGGAGTGGCTTCGTAAGAAGCATTTCAAGGTCCTGGAGTGGCCTAGCCAGTCTCCAGATCTCAACCCCATAGAAAATCTTTGGAGGGAGTTGAAAGTCCGTGTTGCCCAGCGACAGCCCCAAAACATCACTGCTCTAGAGGAGATCTGCATGGAGGAATGGGCCAAAATACCAGCAACAGTGTGTGAAAACCTTGTGAAGACTTACAGAAAACGTTTGACCTGTGTCATTGCCAACAAAGGGTATATAACAAAGTATTGAGAAACTTTTGTTATTGACCAAATACTTATTTTCCACCATAATTTGCAAATAAATTCATAAAAAATCCTACAATGTGATTTTCTGGAAAAAAAATTCTCATTTTGTCTGTCATAGTTGACGTGTACCTATGATGAAAATTACAGGCCTCTCTCATCTTTTTAAGTGGGAGAACTTGCACAATTGGTGGCTGACTAAATACTTATTTTCCCCACTGTATATATATATATATACAGTACCAGTCAAAAGTTTGGACACACCTACTCATTCCAGGGTTTTTCTTTATTTTTACTATTTTCTATATTGTAGAATAATAGTGAAGACATCAAAACAATGAAATAACACATATGGAATCATGTAGTAACCAAAAAAGTGTTAAACATATCAAAATATATTTTATATTTGAGATTCTTCAAAGTAGCCACCCATTGCCTTGATGACAGCTTTGCACACTCTTGGCATTCTCTCATCCAGCTTCATGAGGTATTCACCTGGAATGTATTTCAATTAACAGGTGTGCCTTGTTAAAAGTTAATTTGTGGAATTTCTTTCCTTAACGCGTTTGAGCCAATCAGTTGTGTTGTGACAAGGTAGGGGTGGTATACAGAAGGTAGCCCTATTTGGAAAAGACCAAGTCCATATTATGGCAAGAACAGCTCAAATAAGCAAAGAGAAACGACAGTCCATCATTGCTTTAAGACATGAAGGTCAGTCAATCCGGAAAATGTCTAGAACTTTGAACGTTTCTTCAAGTGCAGTCACAAAAACCATCAAGCGCTATGATGAAACTGGCTCTCATGAGGACCGACACAGGAAAGGAAGACCCAGAGTTACCTCTGCTGCAGAGGATAAGTTCATTAGAGTTAACTGCACCTCAGATTGCAGCCCAAATACATGCTTCACAGAGTTCAAGTAAAAGACACATCTCTGTTCAACAGGTACAGGAAGACAAATCTGTTCAACAGGTACAGCAAGCTCTACAAGTAGATCTGGAAAATACCAGGAAGTGGGTCTGCTGGAACAAACTTGTTTTGAACGCTAAGAAAATCAAGGTTATGTTAGTCTGTTCCACCACGAAAAGGCCAACACAACATGGGAAGCGATTAAGCATGGGGGGACTACAAATTGAGGAAGTGGCAGAAACCAAACTACTAGGATTGCAGCTAGATAACTGCCTTATCATGGTCATCTCAAATAACTAATCTATGTAAGAAAATAAATAAAACTGCATGCATGGTCAGAAGGATTACTAAATATTTAGTGGGAAAGATTCTTAAAGGTTCAGAAATCGCTCAGCCATTTCCTGGTTGCTAAAATTCTAATTGTTCGCCTAATTTCAGTGTATGTGACAAAACAAGCAAGTATGGTATAGAGAATCATTGTTCCATCTAAACCGCTGTGAAATAATTTTCCATAACCAAAAATATTGTATTTTCAGCTGTTTGAAGCTGGTGTACAAAACCGAAAGTAAAAGATGCAAAAACTAAACTTAAGAACGGGAAGCATAGAATTAGTACACATAGAACAGATATACCGCTTCTTAGACTTGCTTTCAATGAGAAGACCTAAAACTCACATTTCTATGTGAATTTGGTCGGGTCGCCCAAAAAGTTACATATTGCAGCTTTAAGCAAACAACCCAAGCATTAATTGGGAGTCAGGTGAACTACTGTTCTGTGGTCTGGGGAAATCCATCAGCGAGGGAGATTAGGAGGCTGCAGATTGCACCGAACAAAGCAGCAAGGATTGTACTAAGGTGGAGATATTATTTTTCTGTTGTAGTCATGCACAATGCTCTTGGGTGGTCATCAATCAACACAATTATTGAAAGAAACATGCTTATTTATTTCACAATGTACACCATTTAAAATGGCCAAACTCCATTCAAAAGAGGATTCAATTTGTAAGAGACAGACATTCAGTCAATACTAGGAATAGATTGTCCACCGTCTATGTGTTATTCCAGACAGAGAAGAGAAAAAGCCAAAATAACATTTTGATTCAGAGCATTAAAGAAAGTGAATAATTTATCTGAGCAAACCAGAAACATTTCAATATACATTATAAATTCAAACAATACATTAGAACCATTTAAACAAGCTAAATTGGAAGGTTGTGCAGGACTATGGTAGATGAAGGAACCAATCTATCTTTTCAGACTGTCAGAGTATTTATCTGGTCAATATGGAAGTGTATTATGTCTGCTGTTTGTAACGGTATGTTATACTGTATGTGAACATTTGATTGTATTATAAATTGTATTTTAACTCTTGGAAGATTAGTCTGAATGAGGACTAAAAGAGATCCTAATAAAATAAAATAAAATCACAGTACAGAAACAGGAAATAGGCTTCCACCCAATGGGCCGTTCTAACTTGGACAAGGCTTATTTCAGATGATACTCTCAATTGTAACAATGCCGGATTTAGCTAGACAGCTAATTTTCATAGTCCACCCAACAGAACTGCACAACCATCTCAACTTTTGTAATAGTAAGGATATATGCCACTTAGCAGATGCGTTTATCCAAAGTCTAAGGAGTTCGAGTTAAGTTCCTATGGCACAGAAGCCATCTCCTCATACAATCCACCTGACATTGTCCATATCCACCGGCTCTATACACATCCACCTGACAGTTGCCACTCCACCTACGTAGCATATGTCGTATATCCCTGACAGTCTATCCCACCTGACAGTCCATTGTCTCTATACACATCCACCTGACAGGCCATCGTCTCTATACACATCCCCTTACAGTCCATGCTCTATACACATCCACCTGACAGTCCATCGTCTCTATACACATCCACCTGACAGGCCATCGTCTCTATACACATCCCACCTCACAGGCCATCGTCTCTATACACATCCCACCTGACAGGCCATGTCTCTATACACATCCCACCTGACAGGCCATCGTCTCTATACACATTCCCACCTCACAGGCCATCGTCTCTATACACATCCCACCTGACAGTCCATGTCTCTATACACATCCCACCTGACAGGCCATCTCCTCTATACACATCCCACCTGACAGGCCATCGTCTCTATACACATCCCACCTGACAGGCCATCGTCTCTATACACATCCCACCTGACAGGCCATCGTCTCTATACACATCCCACCTGACAGGCCATCGTCTCTATACACATCCCACCTGACAGTCCATCGTCTCTATACACATCCCACCTGACAGGCCATCGTCTCTATACACATCCCACCTGACAGGCCATCGTCTCTATACACATCCCACCTGACAGTCCATCTCCTCTATACACATCCCACCTGACAGGCCATCTCCTCTATACCCATCCCACCTGCGGCCTACAGTAGAGCGAGGGCGTGTGTATGTATGTGATCCCGGGAAATGCAGGAAATGAACCCTCAACCTCGGCCCATCTAGAACCACACTCTTACCAACAGAGCCACCGAGGACTTCTCTAAACAATAGGACTCTTCTCACTCTCTGCTCTTCCTCACTTTCACCTGTTTTGTTCGTCCAGTTGTCCTCTTTCTTTGTTTCCTTTGTTAATTCCTGCGTCCACTATTATTTTGTTCTTTCTCTCTTTCCGGCTCTTTCTCTCTTTCCGTCTCTCTCTCCTCTATGACTGTTTCAACGGACCACTCAGCCCTGTAGACTAGACTGTACAGAGTCTTACTATGTGGATTAAACCATGCATGCTTTCCCTTAAAAAATGGGCTCTTTGCTGGTGCGTTCCTGTTCTGTTCATTGTCACAGTGAGGCTGGGCCTGTGAGGCCTGAGGCTGAAGGCAGACTGAAGGCAGGAGGCAATAGACTTGGATTTATTTGCAGTTAAATTTGCCTACTGTGTGTGTGTGATATGATAGGTTTGGATGAGACACTACCGTGTACAGTACTGCACCAGTTCAAGTGTTACAGTATGTTGTGTCTTTGTTATGTAACTAGTGAAAGAATGATGCAACTGTCGTCCCTCACCGTTGGAGGTAGGAAGTAGTGTTTTACTGGATCTCAACTGGGATACAAGATGTTATTCTCAGAGGACATGGCAAATCCTTAACAATTAGCCAAAACATTTCTTTCAAATACATTTATACAGCATCCTCAGGCATTTAATTAATCTACTGGGTCACATTCAAGTCTGATGATGACTTTTTGCTAACTCACAAAAATGCAAACTCCCCATTTAGTTTTAGTAGAACAACTTAGTGTGTGAAATACAGAGAATTAAAAGGCCTTTCCATTAGAAAAGGCATTTTCAGACCAACTGGAGTAAATAAATTAGATATATTTTTTGATAATTGTCTCTGCCCTCCCTGTCTCTCCTGTCAGAGTCAATATTATGACCAGAATGTTGTTTTTGTTATCCACAGATGTATATACCAGCATACATGTTGTCATACTAAAATGTTTACTCCACATGAGTGTTCTCTTTCATTTAATCACTCAATGTTGAGGAGACTAAACTGCTTGGTGTAACCCTAGATTGTAAACTGACATGGTCAAAACTGACAAGTAACTCAAGCGAGCAGTAAAATCTGATTTTAAAAAATCTAAATCAAAGATACATCTCACGGCACAACGCGCCTGTGAAGAGACACACACACACAAATACACACATGCACACACACTCTAACACACACACACACATTGGAATGTTGTGGTATTGTGGATTTTATATTGTACATTTGTAATATTAGAGTAATGATGTAATAATGTCTTGTTTGATGTAAACGTTTTTTTTATGATGTAGGCTGTTGTTGTGTTTTGTTGTGATGTAACTGTTTTAACCTTGTTTGGACCCAAAGAAGAATAGTAATGGGTATCCTACTAAATATCCCCAAAATACTAAATGTCACCACTATCTCCCATATCCCAAAGTGGTGACAACGTCTCATTCAGAGAACCAAGGTTACTCATTGAGTGGTTTATTTTTCACAGCTGCTTGTGGAGCACCCATAGTCTGGCGAGAGAGACTATTCTTCGAGTAACCGAGACGCTTTGGTGGATGAACATTATATGGATAAAATGTAGAACATTTGATTGCCCCAGGTGCCCGTCTGCATATCCCTGCCACCATCCCTGCTATCCCACAAGACTAGAACATACCTGGAATCTAATTAATGTCATCTCTACAAATTTAGCTCCTCATCCCTCACACGTGGCAATTGATCATTTTTGCTCATTATACATTTAATAATTGATCGCTGCAATCCTAATTTTAGCACATTTATTACGCCACACGCACATAATCATCCTGGTCGGGGAACCATAATTGGACTGCCAGGGTAACTGATCGAGATAAATAACTTTCTACATAATCTGCCCAATGTTGAAATTTAAACAACTGAATAAAAAAAATTATGCTTTATGGAGGTAGATTTAATGTAAATCGTTACCAAACTTTAATATCTTTAAAGCTACAGTCTTTGTTTTGAAAAACAACAAAACAGCAGCTCCATCACTTGTTTTGGTATACAGCTGAGGGATGAGGCTTTGGAAATGTAACCCCTCTGAAATTCATACAAGGCACTCCAGATCAAAGGACTGACAATCTTGTTGATATTGTGGATTATGTTCTTCATGCGTTCATGGGGCTCTCAATAGAACTCTTAACCGTGTTGTGTTTCTGCAGCTGCCATGTTCATGGAGCACTGGAAGAGAAGACAGATGCGTCTCAACTATGAATGGGATCTGACAGGCTTCGAGGAGGAAGAGGTGAGTGCTCTCCGGTTAGTGTCTTACATTCCACCACTATTTGTTTGTAAACGGGAGGACCATACTGTGGACTGTCCCAAATAATGCTGAGAGATGATGAGTTCATGTTTCAAAATGCTGTTCTTACTGCCCACTAACATTTCCTCCACATAATAGTTTATTATTCATAATTCCATCACTAGCCATGGGACTCTGAATAGGAGAGAAATTGTGTATAACTAGATTTCAGTTCTCGTCAGTGTTGTCTTGTTTGGAGACACAACAATAACTGGCACAGTAGACGGAAATAAATATTATATTTTTTCTTCAAGACCATTTTCCCAAAAATATTTAAAGGTTGAGATATTTTTGTAACTATCTTGTCCTCCTCTTTCCCCCGTGGGTATCTACAGGAAGAGCTGAAGGTTTGGAACATTTCATTTTACACAAAATATGTATATTTTTTCCCCCTCAATCACCGTCTGGCTTTGCTACCCCCGCACTGGCTCTTCTTCCTCAGACTGTCCACGGACACCTCCTCACCCTTCTAAAGCACCCACAAAACACCACTACCCATTGAACCACCACTCTTTTTCTGAATGCCCACTAGCGTTGCACAATTCTGCAACTTCCAACTGGGATTGCTGGAAAACCTAGGAATTTTGCAACCCTAATGCCCACTGCTTCTGGCCTGCTCACAGCACCTGTACCGTCCTGTCTCCTGTGAGTCGGATGTCAGGTTCAGCTCACCCGCCCACAATATCCTGGCCTAGCCAGCCCTCTCGCTGTCTCTTTCTGTCTCCCTGACCTGTCTCCTCTGCAAAGATTCATGCTGCAGGAAACCAGTAGCCACTGCAGCCTTCTAACCATCTCAGTAGAAATAGGGAACCAGTGATTGTAGTCAACTGTGGTCTTATGAAAGGAAAATATTCTACCTACTCTGTACTGTAGAACTTGACTGGGCTATATAACCTTCTCACCTCACCACCAAGTGTGTTGTCACAAGGAATCTCCAATTGGGTGAACAGTGACAGCCGTATTAAACCCTGCACCTGATGGGAGTATTTTATGAGTGTCCCAGTCAATGTCCATACATTTTTAAGTGCCTCTGTCTCTATTCCTTCCTCAGGACCACCCACGAGCTGAGTACGAGCTCCGAGTCATGCAGAAGTCCCTGAAGAAAGAACACAAGACACAGAAGGTACTGGTTGGTTATTCCAGATTTTTACTGTAGCTAGCCATTTAGATTTTATGTTGCTGGTTTAGTTTTTGTGATTTGATTTGCAGTCTCTTCTTTAGTCCGGATGTTTGGAAAAGTGTATGTCTCTTACAAAACGATGAATCCTCTACAGTGGTAGATTGATACGTGTACAGTATGATATGGGTCTTAGACTAAAGACTACAGTCTGATAACAGTCTTTTACATGACTAGCGTGTGTTTCCTCTTCTTTTCATATTTTTGTCTTGTGGTTCTGCTGGGTTGCTGTGTTTATGTCTTCTGACTGTCAGAAGCCTACAGAGATAGCAGAAGAAACCACAAACAAATGGAAGCAAACAGTTCAATCTGCCATGGCTGGGCTAAAACTGGTACTTTCAGTGTCCTCACCTCCCATCCACACCTATCCCACACACACTGCACTATGGAAGTCTGCCAAGACAAGCCCTAATCCTCCTACTCACCCCGTCGGGTCTAATTTAATGAACGGAGAAGACTCTTTTATCTGCGAAGCACATGATTGATTTTGCACACAACGTTTTGGCAAATACAGTATTTTGGATTAAGCCTGGGACTTGACACGTCAGTCCATTTCACATACTGTAGATAGCGCTCTCACTGAGATCCAGCCACACTCACACACGCCTCTGCTCGCCGTCACGTTTTACAGAGCTGCTGTTCGAACCTCTTCCTTTTCTTCTTGACAGTTGTTTGATTGTTTTTTTTTTTTTTCTGAGATTGGATTCTTTAGATCTGATTTCTCCATAGTGGTAGTGCTTGGTGCATGTTGTAATGTTCTGGTAGTGAGATTGAGCCAGTGTGGTTTGTTTTTTTGTAGTTCCATAGACCAGGGGTCTTCAACCTTTTCTAGCCCAGGGACCCCTTCCTGGAAGAGGAAGTGTAAACTCTAACCTTTTCACTAAGAGCAGCTGTTTAGCTGGTTAAACAAAGGTTAGCCATGTAAAAAAGAATGTCCAAGTCAAGAAAGCTTACCAGTAGCCAATGGCACTTGCCGCGACTGGTACTCGCGGGTGCTTTTTCAAAACCTATGTGAGATACTCGAGTGAGTGTAAATGACTGTAGAGAACATTAGGAGTTGACATCATCAGAAAAAATATTTTCTCCTCTTTGCTACATTGAAATGCTACATTTAAATACCCCCTGCATTACCTCCATGGACCCCTAGGGGTCTGCGGACCAAGGTTGAATACCCCTGCCATAGACAGCATGTTCGCCTGTTCTGTTCCAAATGGCTGCTGGAAGGTTATTGACATGGCTGTGTCAACAATGACACCCTATTCCCTATATAGTGCACTAGTTTTGACCAGGTTCACTATTTAGGGAATAGGGTGCCATTTCAGACGCAGCCATGTTCTGACTGAGATTTGCTGCATAAAGAATGATGAGAATGACTTAATAAATGCCTGAAATATAGTGAATGAACTGTGAGAACACCGTACAACCCTTTGACTGTCAGTGTTGAATAATTATGTATGAAATGTTTATTTCTGTGTTGTGGTTGTGTCAGCATCAAAACACCAGCTTTTCCACTCTCCATCCATCGCTCTTTGGATTATTCTGCTCACTGGTCATGTTAATTTTCACATACAAACAGTTACAGTACACTTGGCTGTAACTCGACAGGTCTGAATATTTGAACCCCTCTTTTAGACAGAAAAAGAAAAGCTGACGTGCAGAGACCGGTTACCAGCGTACATGACCAACGTAGTCATGATGCTTTTGATGGTGAGTCCAACACATAGTAAGATGTAAGCTGCTCAGAGGTATTTTAGATACTTTTATTAAACTGGATTTTAAAGGTGTAGTTTAAACGATCAGTATAATATGTACTGTAGCCAGACTTTTGGCTATAATGCTGTATATAGAAAAAGCCCTTCTCTGTCAATGCCTCAGATTGTACACTGGAAATGAATAAATGGTGAGAAAGCTCCTAAAGAGTGTTACATGCTGACCAGACCGCTCGCGTGTGCGTCCGCGTGCCCCATCGTGTGCATGTTGATTTTGTCCACCCACACCAGATGCAATCAGGACACGCAGGTTGAAATAGCAAAACGAACTCTGAACCAACTATATTAATTTGGGGACAAGTCGAAAAGCATGAAACATTTATGGCATTTTAGCTAGCTAGCTTGCTGTTGCTAGCTAATTTGTCCTGGGATATAAACATTGGGTTGTTATTTTACCTGAAATGCACAAGGTCCTCTACTCCAACAATTAATCCACAGATAAAAGGGTAAACCGAGTGAGTTTCTAGTAATCTCTCCTCCTTCAGGCTTCTTCTTCTTCTTTTGACTTTATATGACTGTTGGCAACCAACTTTAAGGTGCGTTACCACCACCAACTGGACTGGAGTGTGGACCTCAGTTCATCTTTCAATCACCCACGTGGGTATATGCTCCTAAAAACCAATGAGGAGATGGGAGAGGCAGGACTTGCAGCGCGTCAAGCATCACAAATAGAATCAAGTTCTATTTTAGCGCCTGGCCACGCAGACGCTTGTTGACGCGCGCAAGCAGTGTGGATGCAATTATTGAATAACATGTATGTGTACATTTATTTTGCAATGCTCGCACACGCGACGTGAGCGGTGTGGTCAGGATGTTACAGATGATTCCTGAGCAAATTAAGTGACCTTGAAAAAGGACTCCAACCCAAATAAATCAATGGTGACCTTACCATTGCTTCCTGTCTCTCCGTTCAGATCGGGGTAACGTTTGCCATAGTGTTCGGAGTCATCCTTTACCGGATCTCCACCAAGGCAGCGCTGCACATGAGCAACAACCCCACCACACGGTCCAACGTCCGTCTGACGGTCAAAACCACCGCTGCCATCATCAACCTGGTGGTCATTTTGATCCTGGATGAGGTGTACGGAGCTGTCGCCCGCTGGCTCACTGTCCTCGGTACGTTAGTCTGACAACAGCACACACACACACACACACGCACACACACACACACGCACACACACACACACACACACACACACACACACACAGTCTGAGAACTTAACACACACAGACACAGACACAGTCTGAGAACTTAACACACACACACAGACACAAAGGCTCATTGTCCTAGGTACATCAGTCTGACAACTTAACAGACACAGACACAGACACACACACACACAGACAGACACACCACACACACGCACAAATACACCCACACACATGGAACTGTCTCCCACTGGCTCACCGTCCTAGGTATGTGCAACAACCTAATTTAATCTAATGTGATAATAATGCTATAGCACTTTTAAAGACTGTTCCTACATGTAGCTATCAGCAAGGCTTTTTGTGTTCCTTTTATCACTGGCCTAGATCACTCTGACAACTTGACAACAGCATCCAAAGACCCATTTACAGAACTTAGAAAAAGTAGAGCGTCTTTAAGTGCATCTTGCATTGACAGTGTGCCAACTTCCCTATTAGCTGTAAGTTACCACTAGAAAGGCTTTTTGGGTGCTATTTCTAACAATATGCCAATGTACTGTCTCATCGTGCTACCTACCTTTCAAACTCAAGATAGATCCAAAATTGATTTCCTTCTAGAACTGACATTTGGTGTATTGAATGCAGTGCAACATTCTAACTCCCCTTGCTGTAGAAGGATTCCACTATTCTCTTTAAAGTCCAGTCTCAAGCAGCAATGGCCTTACGAGTTATTTAATAACGTCTGAACATCTACTGTCTGTTTTCTCAGAGGTTCCAAAGACAGACAAGAGCTTTGAGGAGAGGTTGATATTCAAAACGTTCATCCTGAAGTTTGTGAACGCCTTTACACCCATCATATACATAGCATTTTTCAGAGGCAGGTGAGTCCCCACAGTCTTAGTCTTTCTCCAACCACTCTCTACTGATCTGTATGAGCTTATAATGTTATGCTATGTTATGCTATTCTATGTTATACTATGTTATGCTATGCTATGTTATGTTATGTTGTTATGCTATGTAATGTTATGTTATGTTATGTTAGATTATATTATGTTAATATGTTATGTTATGCTATTTTATGCTATGTTATGTTATGTTATGCTGTGTGATGCTATGTTATGTTAGATTATATTATGTTAATATGTTATGCTATGTTATACTATACTATGCTATGCTATGTTATGTTAGATTATATTATGTTAATATGTTATGCTATGCTATGTTATGCTATGCTATGCTATGTTATGCTATGTTAAATGATATTATATTATTATACTATGTTATGCTATGTTATGCTATGCTATGTTATGTTATGCTAAGCCATGTTATCTAATGATTTGCTATGCTATGCTATGTTATGCTATGTTAAATTATATTATATTATTATACTATGTTATGCTATGTTATGCTATGCTATGTTATGTTATGCTAAGCCATGTTATCTTATGATTTGCTATGCTATGCTATGTTATGCTAAGTTATGTTACAGTGCCTTGCAAAAGTATTCATCCTCCTTGGCGTTTTTCCTATTTTGTTGCATTACAACCTGTAATTTAAATTGATTTTTATTTGGATTTCATGTAATAGACATACACAAAATAGTCCAAATTGGTTAAGTGAAATGAAAAAAATAACTTGTTTCAAAAAATTCTAAAAAATTAATAACGGAAAAGGGGTGCGTGCATATGTATTCACCCCCTTTGCTATGAAGCCCCTAAATAAGATCTGGTGCAACCAATTACCTTCAGAAGTCACATAATTAGTTAAATAAAGTCCACCTGTGTGCAATCTAAGTGCCACATGATCTGTCACATATATACACCTGTTCTGAAAGGCCCCAGAGTCTGCAACAACCACTAAGCAAGGGGCACCACCAAGCAAGCGGCACCATGAATACCAAGGAGCTCTCCAAACAGGTCAGGGACAAAGTTGTGGAGAAGTACAGATCAGTGTTGGGTTATAAAGAAATATCAGAAACTTTGAACATCCCACGGACCACCATTAAATCCATTATAAAAAAACGGAAAGAACATGGCACCACAACAAACCTGCCAAGAGAGGGCCTCCCACCAAAACTCACGGACCAGGCAAGGAGGGCATTAATCAGAGAGGCAACAAAGAGACCAAAGATAACCCTCAAAGGAGCTGCAAAGCTCCACAGCGGAGATTGGAGTATCTGTCCATAGGACCACTTTAAGCCGTACACTCCACAGAGCTGGGCTTTACGGAAGAGTGGCCAGAAAAAAGCCATTGCTTAAACAAAAAAATAAGCAAACACATTTGGTGTTCGCCAAAAGGCATGTGGGAGACTCTCCAAACATATGGAAGAAGGTACTCTGGTCAGATGAGACTAAAATTGAGCTTTTTGGCCATCAAGGAAAACGCTATGTCTGGCGCAAACCCAACACCTCTCATCACCCCGAGAACACCATCCCCACAGTGAAGCATGGTGGTGGCAGCATCATGCTGTGGGGATGTTGTTCTTCGGCAGGGACTGGGAAACTGGTCAGAATTGAAGGAATGATGGATGGCGCTAAATACAGGGACATTTTTGAGGGAAACCTGTTTCAGTCTTCCAGAGATTTGAGACTGGGATGGATGTTCACCTTTCAGCAGGACAATGACCCTAAGTATACTGCTAAAGCAACACTATGTTATGCTGTGCTGTGCTATGCTATATTATGCTATGTTAGATTATATTATATTATTATGCTATGTTATGCAATGTTATGCTATGTTATGCTATGTTATGCTATATTAGAGTATATTATATTATTATGCTATGTTATGCTATACTATGCTATGTTACATTATGCTATGTTATGCTATGTTAATCACACAATCTATGTTAGTGAGACGTAGTAGAGTTGTCCTTGGGTATTGCCTCTCCTAACCCTTAATTTTCTTCCTGTGCTCCTACAGGCTTGTTGGTCGACCGGGAAGTTATCTTTATGTGTTTGAGTCGTACCGAATGGAAGAGGTAAAAAGAAAACGTTATACTCTAAATCCTCCTCTTAATCTCTGAGATAGAAGTCTGCATCATGAACAGTCATTTGGAGATGTATTAAATATTAGTAATCTGACTGTAAAGGAAGAAAAACAATAAGGAATTATTTGTAATTGTATACATATTCAATTTTCATTAATTTCATCATTGCCTAATGAACACAATCTTTATAAATGTTGAAGTGCAGATGGCTATGAATTAAGCAATGTTAGTTAACCTAGAAACATACATTAGGAGTTCACATATTCAAAATACATCTGTAGTCAAGTCCTGCAATTTAATAAAAAAACACAGAAAAACAACCTATGCACTACGATGGACTTTTAAAAGAGATGTCTCTCTTGAGCTGATGACCAACGTTTACAGTGAACTTGGATCTCTGTGAACGTCAGGGAAATTGCCTTTAAAAGTCTATTGCTGTGAGGAAGTCTGGGTTGGATTAAATCCCTTCCTTAGTGTGTCTTTTGTTATGTCAGTCTGTCTATAATGGAAGTGTGATACAGTACAGAAGGCCTATAACTACTGTTTTTCCCCTGCAGTGTGCTCATGGAGGATGTCTGATGGAGTTGTGTATTCAGCTCAGTATCACCATGTTGGGAAAGCAACTCATCCAGAACAATCTATTTGAGATCGGCATCCCGTGAGTACACACACACGCGCACGCACACACACACACACACACACACACACACCAATAGTGTGTGTATATCAAGGATTCACAGAATCCCGTAAGATCCACAGACCAACGCTTCTCTGTGGTTCTTATCCCTGTCCGACTGTGCCATTGCTTCTGACTATCTCCCTGTGCCTACAGGAAGCTGAAGAAGCTGATAAGGTACATCAAGTCCAAGAGAAGGTCCTTCCAGGAAGAGGAGAGAGAGAAGAAGTTACAGCGCTATGAGACAGACCACTTCCTTGAGCCCTTCGCAGGCCTCACGCCAGAGTACATGGAGATGAGTGAGTCTGTGTCTGTGTCTGTGTGTGTGTGTGTATGTGTGTGTGTGTGTGTGTGTGTGTGTGTGTGTGTGTGTGTGTCTGTGTGTGTGTGTGTGTGGTGTGTGTGTTGTGTGTGTGTTGTATGTGTGTGTATGTGTGTGTCTGTGTCTGTGGTCTGTGTGTGTGTTGTGTTGTGTTGTGTGTGTGTGTGTGTGTGTGTGTGTGTGTGTGTGTGTGTGTGTGTGTCTGTGTGTGTGTGTGTCTGTTGTCTGTGTCTGTGTCTGTGTCTGTGTCTGTGTGTGTGTGTGTGTGTGTGTGTGTGTGTGTGTGTGTGTGTGTGTGTGTGTGTGTGTGTGTCTGTGTCTGTGTCTGTGTCTGTGTCTGTGTCTGTGTCTGTGTCTGTGTCTGTGTCTGTGTCTGTGTCTGTGTCTGTGTCTGTGTCTGTGTGTGTGTGTGTGTGTGTGTGTGTGTGTGTGTGTGTGTGTGTGTGTGTATGACGCTGCTACAGCTCCCTGTGAGACCTTTGGTGTACAGCATTCCCCCAGGACCAATCAGTCAGACAGACCCTTCTCTCAGAGACTATGTCACTGTCCAAAAGTCAATACCATGTAAACCTTCATCTGAATATGCATGTCCAGTCCACATTGTCCAGTTGATTTTAAAATCATCTTGCTCTGCTTTGTATGTTCAGCTTGCACCTTGGTTTGACAGCGAAATAGCAAAAGCATTTATTTTAATCTTGTACTTTCCCATTAACATGTGTGGTGAGCAGTGGAGGCTCCTCAGAGGAGGAAGGGGAGGACCATCCTCCTCAGTGAATTTCATAAAAAATTATAAAAGGTAAAACATTACAAAAGTTATCCTTTTTAGATATCACTATACGGATTATATTCACGTCACCAAATAATTTATTAAAACACACTGTTTTGTAATGAAGGTCTACAGTAGCCTCAACAGCACTCTGTAGGGTAGCACCATGGTGTAGCCGGAGGACAGCTAGCTTCAGTCCTCCTCTGGGTACCTTGACTTCAATACAAAACCTAGGAGGCTAATGGTTCTCAACCCCTTCCATAGACTTACACAGTAATTATGACAACTTCCGGAGGACATCCTCCAACCTATCAGAGCTCTTGCATCAGGAACTGATATGTTGTCCACCCAATCAAAGGATCAGATAATTAATCTAGTACTGAAAGTATAAGCTACAGCTAGCTAGCACTGCAGTGCATAAAATGTGGTGAGTAGTTGACTTAAAGAGAGAGAAAGACAATAGTTGAACAGTTTTGAACATATTCATTTCTTTAAAAATTAAGGAGAAGCAAGAGAGAGATTTTCTTCATTTTTTTTCACTTTCAGTTTCACTTACTTAGCTAGCAAATGCAGCTAGCTAGTTTAGCCTACTCAAACACCCTGCTCAAACAGAGATTTGTTATGTTAGCTAGCTGGCTATGACTATCCAACACAACACTGGAACTCTTCCAAGTCAAGGTAAGCTTTTGGTTTTACTAATTTATTGCCACTGGGGCCAACCGGTGTAACTGCTAAACTGCTAACTGACTATACATTGTAAAGTTACTGCATGATTGTAGCGGGTTTACTAACACGTTAGTTCTATTAGCTACATTGACTATGACGTAACTTTAGCTAATATGGTGACAACGATTTAGGCTGTGTGTAGCAGTTATGATATGGTTTGGCTTGGAAAGCTTTTTTCCGCCTGGTCACATACAGCTGATGTGTTGTACATTGAAGTCCACCAACGAAGGGAAAAGGTGAGAGGAGGAGAGCGCATAGATGAGAGAAGGAATACCACGTGGCTGCTATAAATGTGAACTGTGTTTACCCATGACCAGGGGTGTATTCATTCCGCCGATTCTGTTTTAAAAAACGTCTCTTAAACGGAAACAAACGGAACGAAACAGGGATAAACATACTTGAATTTGTCCAATTGAAACTCTCGTTTGCAACTGTTGGACTAATGATTACACCCTAGATCAGCTAGATGCAGGCAAGAGTGTGCAAGGCGGTATTGAATGTGTCGCTGTCTGTCCATGTGTCACTGTCTGTCACCTCAACATTTTCTCTCGACCTGTGTGCACCTATGTTGTAATCTTTCATTCATAGGCTAGGTTGTAGCAATCTCATTATGGATATAGGGAAAATTAAAGTATCAGGTAGTAGCCTAAACCTATCGATGTTAAATTGAACTGGGTGAATGGAATATGAATGACAGTCATCCAATATGCTGTAATAGAAATAAGGCCATGCTCATGAAGAAAAAAATAATCATCCTCCCTCATCTTAAATATCACTGACCACCACTGGTGGTGACGGTTGCCTGACTTGCCTCTAGGTGTGAGTAAACCAACCCGTCTGTTGCTGTACAGTGACCCGCCCCATGTTTTTAGTATGGCAGCTACACGCCTCTTCCATGGCAACTCCAATGGGTATTGGTCAGATTTAGCTGTCTGCCACCAGTGTGACATATATGATTTTTCATACATGCGCTTGCTTGTTCCCCACACTCAGAATCAAGTTTCATGTTGAATTTTATCATGCACTAGTGGTTGGAAAATATCACTGTGATGTTTTGAGATATTATATATCCTCAAAGGTGCAAATATGTAAAGTTGGTCCACCTTCGTTCAAAGACACGTGTCATAACAGATGTCTGTCATTTCGTTTCAAGGTAAACAGAGTATTATGGTTGTGTCCTGATTCTCCACCCATCTCCCAAAGAGTGTGAACTTGGACAATCCTTCATGGATTTAAAATAATTGGATTGGTGTAGGCCTAAGCATTGGCTTGAGGGAGTTAAGACAATTATTTACCATGTCTGCTTGTCCGGGACAAGACACATTTTGTCTGACAAGAAGAATATAGATTTGCATTGTCCGGATGGTCAAGTAAAAAAAAAACACACAAAAATCACAATATCAAGCAATTACTCTGAACAGGCAGGGCGGTCTTTCAATCCTCCCTGGTTGCGAGATATGCTATTGAGATCAAAGAGCAGATCCGTATGTAGCCGCATGTGCACATTTGTTAATATTCCTGGCTAATTAGTGAGTTATTTCAAAGTTATAGCACATTTTTGGTCAGCAAATAGGCTTTTTACGGTCATGAAAATCCTGGAAAATTCATGCTTTGCGCATCAGCTGCATGTGTGCCAGTGTGAGTGGGCCAGAGGAGCGAGAGGGAAACACAACAGACTAACTAGATAGCCAATTCAAACCATATTGTGTACCCTGACTAGTTATCTCGCTAGTTAACTATTTAGCTATTATCATGTCTTAATGTAATTGTCATGTCCTATGTCCTAAAAACGCAGCAGAAAGTTCAGCGTACCCCAAATCCAGAGGTTGTGAGTTCAGATCCCAGGTGGGGTCATATTGAAATGTCAGTACTAAGTGATCATGTCAAATGTAATCATATTGTCATTGATGAAAGATTTGTACACTATTTTAGCTGAACAGCGTATCACTTACCTTAAAACCCCCATACCATTTAATTACTTCCCTTACGAAAAACCATGTGAAATTTGCAGTTTCACATTTGAAAACCACATTTTCACCTGAAATCGCATTTTCACATGTGAAAGAACTGTTCACATGTTGAGCTGAAATTTTCACCTGTGAAAACAAAAGAGACAAGTGAGGTCAGTTGTTCACATGTGAAACCATATGTTCACATGTATTCAATATAGGGTTCTCATGTTAATTAATACCACCTTTTCAGATGTGAGGAGAATAACATGTTTTCACCTCACATGTGAATTGCAGATTCACATGTGGAATTTGTAGTTTCACATGTGAAAATCTAATTTGCATTTTCACATGTGAAAACCTAACTCTCACATGTGGAATTGTATTTTCACATGTGAAAAACTTTCTGATGTTGTCACGTGTAGTTACATGGTATCACAACAGTGGTGAACCAGCTTTACATGTTTGCACCTTTGAGGATATATAATATCTCAATGCATCACAGTGATATTTTCCGACCACTAGTGCGTGATACAATTCAACATGAAACTTGATTCTAAGTGCTTGGGAACAAGGAAGTGATGTAATGACATTTTGCATCCCCATGTTGTCACATTTATTTCACATAAGATCCTGTTTTCACGTTCTCAAATGTTTTCATATGTGTAGTTTCATGTTATCACATTGACTTCACATAAGATCACATGATCTTCCGTAAGTGAACCTCTGTGGTGAGAGAATTCTGATAGGCCTTCATGTTGGTTGAGAAACTAGAGTCAATCAATTGCATCAAACAAGAAAAGGTTTTTAGACTGTCACTGTACTGGTTTTTGGCCTCGGCTTCAAACCTACAAATGTGATTAGATTGATTGAAGGATTAGATAGAGATGGCTTTTATTTTGTATTGACTTTAATCTTGATGAAACCTCAGGTGGCTGGCTTTAGCAAATGTCAGAGATAGAAGTCATTAATGGATGTGTGCGAGCCAAAGGCCATTTTCCTCAGCTAGCTAATTGGAACCCATGTCTTTTGATGACCTAGTAGAAGGTATTAATGATTCCTGAAATATTTAACAGGGTATTGAATAGTGTTTCAAAGGCTGTATGGGGAAAAAATATTTGGGGGTAAGAACTCAAGTTTTTCAATTATGATAATTTAGTTAGGTGTATCACTATTGTAAAGCAACATTGATTGAGTAGAATGTAGCTTACTGCCATTTCCGTCTTGGACAGATTCATGCTGTTGAAGGGTAAAACGAATGGCACTCTTCATGTGATTCATGTACTCAGCGAATATTTTTTATAGAGGGAAACAAAACTTACACTGAGTGTACAAAACATTAATATTATATTGTTAATATGAATATTGTAATATTGAGTTGCACCCCATTTTGCCCTCAGAACAGCCTCAATTTGTCGGGGCATGGACTCTACATGGTGTCGAAAGTATTCCACACGGATGCTGGCCCATGTTTACTCCAATGCTTCCCACAGTTATGTCAAGTTGGCTGGATGTCCTTTGGTTGGTGGACCATTCTTGATACACAAGGGAAACTGTTGAGCGTGAAAAACCCAGCAGCGTTGCAGTTCTTGACACACTCACACCGGTGCGCCTGGTACCTACTACCATACCCTGTTCAAAGGCACTTAAATATTTTGTCTTGCCCATTCAACTTCTGAATGACACACATACACATCTCAATTGTCTCGAGGCTTAAAAATACTTATTTAATTAACTTGTCTCCTACCGTTCATCTACACTGATTGAAGTGGATTTAACATCAGTAAGGGATCATAGCTTTCACCTGGATTCACCTGGTCAGTCTATGTCATGGAAAGAGCAGGTGTTCCTAATATTTTGTACACTCAGTGTACTTCCTCCCTGTGTGGGAGTTGGCTGGAAATCATTTTAGAATTATTCCGGGAACCAGTTACCATTTTTTACTTGAATAGCTCCCTAAGCCAAGCACAATGAGAAGGGGATGTAGCTAATTGAATGAATGACTTCCTTCCTTCCTCCGTACCAAACCTGCACCCTGGGCCTTCTTCACGACATACAGCAGTGTTTTTACTCAGCAGATCCTCCTGTTGGCACACACCTGTGCCAGATTCTCCATCAGGCTCTATTTACTTTAACTTGCTGTTTGGGCCATGGCCCACATCTCTCTTTTCCTGCTTTCTTCTTCTTCTTCTTCTTCTTCTTCTTCTTCTTCTTCTTCTTCTTCTTCTTCTTCTTCTCTTCTTCTTCTTCTTCTTCTTCTTCTTCTCTTCTTCTTTCTTCTTCTTCTTCTTCTTCTTCTTCTTCTTCTTCTTCTTCTTCTTCTTCTCTCCCTACATCCACCCATTTCTGGAGCTGGCATTTGCAAGCATATACCTCAAGTCAAGTGAAAAGAGCATCAGTGTTTTCATCTATTTCATCAGGAGACTTCTAAACTACTTGTACTTAGCTTACCATATATTTGCAGTGTAAGAGGACTGTTAAGACGGCTCTAAAGAAAGACATTGTTTGTTCTCTGTCTGAACACTGTACTCTTGAGAAAGTCTTAAACAACAGTAGAGTCCAGTTACAGGGCTTTTAACTTACTTCACTCTCTCAAGAGGCAGTGTCTCTCAGTTCATGCCAGGTAAGTAGGCCTATTCTCAGGATACAGATAGTTTTAGACTTAACTTAATGTTCATGGCATGGCAAAGATAGGCTAATTTGATGCTACCGCATTATGGTATCATGGATATTATGGTATTATTAAAGGAATGTTCTTATCCAATGTTCCCAATGGACTATTAGTCGAAACCTTCACCAGTCACACCCAAGATCCACATATGTATTATAGCAGTTGTAAATTTTTACAGAATTCTGCACCTTGCAGTGGTGTTGGATTTCCCCTAGAGTGGCTTTTGAAGAGCACCTGCTTCTCGAACACAACTGAGCAATGTGTGTGGATGCGTTTGTGTTGAGAGAGAGAAGAGAGAGAGAGAGACGAGAGACGAGAGACGAGAGAGAGAGAGAGAGCGAGAGCGAGAGCGAGAGCGAGAGCGAGAGCGAGAGAGAGAGAGAGAGAGAGACCCTGTGCCCCCTCTACAGGCGTCTGCATAATAGGTTTGGTTTGCTCCTAGCAGAACTCGGCTAGGCATAGTGAACGTCTGTGCCTCGCACACTCCCTTAAAATGTTGTTGCTTGAAAAACTACAAAAAAGTGCCAATAGTACTGTTTGCCTTAGACCCCCTCCCGTTTTCCGTCCCTCACAGTCTCTTCCCCTTCGTAACCAACATAGTCATGTTCCTGTGCCTCCCTGCCCCTCACCCTCTCCACCTAGCCCCCTGTCATGTCCATGCCCCCTCCCTCAGTATCCTCGCCCTGCAAGACACTTAAAGAGCCCCCTTCTGTTCTCTCTAGTTTGGTCCACTCCCACTCAATTGCCTTATCAGCTGCATCAATAAATTAATTGTGTTGATTTGAATGACCTAAAAGTCAAAGTTGTTATTTAACAAATATATATACACTACCAGCCAAAAGTTTGGACACCTACTCATTCAAGGGTTTTTCTTTATTTTTACTATTTTTTACATTGTAGAAAAATAGTGAAGACATCAAATCTATGAAATAACACATATGGAATCATGCAGTAACCAAAAAAGAGTTAAACAAATCAAAATATATTTTATATTATATAGCCACCCTTTGCCTTGATGACAGCTTTGCACACTGTATATATATTATTTAATACATTTACAAGGGTCATTCAAGGGTTTCTTGTTATCCTACATGCGATGAGCACATGGGCATGTTTTAGAGCTAGCTACAGTAAGTGATGTGAGGTTCAGATCATCTCTCCTGATTGATTTGTTTAGTCTTGTCGAGTGATCAGGGCCTGTATTCATGAAGCATCAGAGTAGGAGTACTGATCTAGGATCAGGTTGCCCCTGTCCATTTAATCATGTTCATTATGATCTAAAAGGCAAAACTGATCCTATATCAATACTCCTGCTATGAGAGGCTCTTTGTGAATACAGCAGGCCCTGGTGAATAGACAGATCAGGCTGAAAGACATACTGTAGGCCTACGTGTATACAGTGAGATGTTCATGTAAAGCTGATGAATGTCTCTCTATCTCTGTGTCCTTGCAGTAATCCAGTTTGGGTTTGTGACCCTGTTCGTGGCATCGTTCCCGCTGGCCCCACTTTTCGCCCTCCTCAACAACATCATCGAGATACGCCTGGATGCCAAGAAGTTTGTGGCCGAGCTCAGGAGGCCGGTCGCAGCAAGGGCAAAAGACATTGGTGGGTTCAAAGTTCACTCTTTAAGCCCACAGGTTATTTTTGTTTATATTGATTCCTTTCACAATAATAAACCTTATATTGAATTCACTCCAATATAAGTGATTTACAGAGAGAAAAAAACATTATGGTTATCTCTGATGTCATTCTTGGGCCCTGAGTTCTATGTGACCATGTGACCAGATGACCAGGAAGTCTCTTTTGCATAATATATTTTATCTCATCAAGATGAACCTGTATGTATACACTGAGTATACCGAACATTAGGAACACCTTCTAAATATTAAGTTGCACCCCCTTCCCCTTTTGGCCTCAGAACAGCCTCAATTCGTCGGGGGGTGGATTCTACAAGGTGTCGAAAGCATTCCACAGGGATGCTGGCCCTTGTTGACTCCACTGCTTCCCACAGTTTTGTCAAGTTGCCTGGATGTCCTTTGGGTGGTGGACCATTCTTGATACACACGGGAAACTGTTGAGTGTGAAAAACCCAGCAGTATTACAGTTCTTGACACAAACCGGTGCGCCTGGCACCTTCTACCATACCCCATTCAAAGGCACTTAAATCTTTTGTCTTGCCCATTCACCCTCTGAATGGCACACATACACAATTCATGTCTCAATTGTCTCCAGGCTTAAAAATCATTCTTTAACCTGTCTCCTCCCCTTCATCTATATTGATTGAAGTGGATTTAACAAGTGACATCAATAAGGGATCGTAGCTTTCAACTGGATTCACCTGGTCAGTCTATGTCATGGAAGGAGCAGGTGTTCTTAATGTTATGTACACTCAGTGAATATAAAGGTTAATTGAAAATGGACTCATGTGGTCAGGTAAAGATTCAGGAATGTAAATGTAATCTAGTGGTTGAATCTGCAGAATGGTGTCTCTATTGTTTCTACATACAAACTTACAAACATAACTAGAGGGGGGAATTTGTCCTACTGATTTATTACAGGCATTGTTATGCTTGTGCTTTTGTAGTATTTTGCACCTCTGTGTTCTTAACTAAACGTCAGATTGACATAGATCCAGGCAAAAAAACTCATACCATCCCACAACAATATTGCAGAGGCATTAACCTTCTCTCTTCTCTGATTCTAGGAATATGGTACAACCTTCTCCGAGCTGTGGCTAAGGTGGCCGTCATCATAAACGTAAGTCATTCCGGTAATCCCAGTCAAATAGAATAGTGGAAGTTGACCAAATGATGAAAAAACAACAACAATTCTCTCACTTTAACATATGCTGTTTTGATTTAGATAAGGGAGTCACTGAAATGTTCTGCGAAAGTTACATTCATTCCCCAACCCCCTCAACAATAACAAGTCTGCACTTAAAACTAGAACGTCTTTCATTGAAGCTCAGCCCGGTCCACATTAAAGAGCCAGTCCTTTACTGTGAATTTATATCAACACTCTTGGGGGATTACTTGTAAAACCTCATAATTAGGCTTTTAAGAGGTTTCACCTCTAAAACGACTGCCCCTCGGTGCAGAGAAGACCCTACTTGGTCAGAAGGAGAGTTAACGTGGTCATAAATCCTGCAGACTCTCACTTCACTTCCAAAGGGATCACCATCGTCATGGCGATGTTGAAGTGAGATCCAGATCTGGGTTATTTATGACAACGGAGGCTTTCGATCAAAATGGAAAGGAGGGAATCCTTCACCTCCATCCTCCTCTTATTGAGAGTGTTTCCGATGGAACAGGATATCAATGTGTCTTCACTTTAAGGCCTTGGATACCCTCTACGTTTATGTGCTGGCAAATCTCTGAACCCAGAATGAAATCTCGCATGGGCACTGGCCAGCTTCTCGGGTTAGGGTTAGGGCTAACATTAACGTTAACAGTCAGTCACGAGAGACTATATGCTGATTGACAGATAGTTGCCGATGTAGAGGGTATACAGCACATTGAAGACAGAGCTCCTTTTGCTGAAGTTGACCATTATATTCAACCTATATAGCATTAGGGCTGGTTTCCACCTGGTATTACCATGTGACTTTCGTTAACCGATCAAGATGATCCAATCACTATCTATTGACAGGGCATTTGTTAATGCCAGGTGTAAACACAGTCTTAAGTGTCTTCAGGTGCTTTCTCAGTGATCACTGTCTGTCTCTCTCCAGGCGTTTGTGATCTCCTTCACGTCAGACTTCATCCCGAGGCTGGTCTATCAGTACATGTACAGCCTAGACGGCTCCATGCACGGCTTCGTCAACCACACCCTGTCCTACTTCAACGTGAGCGACTTCCAGAACGGTAAAGAACCTATGGACGCTCTGCATCTGGGCTACCAGGTGGAGATGTGTAGGTGAGTTCACACACAATGCTGACTGACTGTGTGAAGTGTTTTTGTGATACAAATTTTATTGATTGTTATAAACAGGGTGGTTCAAGCCCTGAATGTTGATTGGCTGACAGCTGTGATATATCAGACCGTATAACACAGGTATGACAAAACATTTATTTTTACTGCTCTAATTACGTTAATAACCAGTTTATAATAGCAATAAGGCACCTCAGGGGTTTGTGGTATATGGCCAATATACCACGGCTAAGGGCTGTATCAGTCATACAAAAGTTATACTTAAATCTGAACTGGTTCTCTAGCAAATTAGTAAGATTGTCTCAACCAATGTTCAAGAATGGCCTTTTTCCCTTTATTCAGAGTACAACCTCTCACTTTCAGTTATTTGAAATGGAAATCATCTCCCAAATATCACTATTTCTAAAACAAGCCATTGAAAGTTGGTTGCAATTTCAATTTAATCCTCCAGAAAGGACAGAACAAATAATGCAACAAATATTGTGGTTAAACTCAAATATACTAATTGATAAAAAAAATATTATTCTTTGAAAAAAAAAAAAAAAGAAGTATAATCTTGGTAAATGACATCACCGGTAGGACTGGTGGAGTTATGTCCCACATGCAGCTAACAAAAACATATGGAAATGTCTGCTCTACCCAAAATTACAACCAAATAATTGCAGCATTACCGCAAAAATGGAAGAGGAAAGTGGAAGGGGGAAAAAGTAAGGAACTTGTCTGTCGGCCCTGCATTAAAGAACATAATTGGTTAAAGAAAATTGTGATAAATAAAAAAGCATACCAGTTTCATTTAAGGACCAAAGGATTGACAGCCGTCCCATATAGATTGCAAAATAGTTGGGAAGAGATTTTTGACGTACCGATCCCATGGCACTGTGTTTATGAACTAATACGCAAAACGATGCCGGATTCAAAACTTATAATTTTTCAATGTAAATTATTATACAAAATTCTTCCTACCAATAGAATGTTATTTATATGGAGGATACAATCTTCCCAGCTCTGCAGATTTTGCTGCGAAGAGACAGAATCATTAGATCATTTGTTTTGGTACTGTCTATTTGTAGCTTGTTTTTGGTCACAGGTCCAGGAATGGTTAAAGGATTGCAATATTTACCTGGAGCTAACCCTGCAGATAGCACTACTGGGTGATCTGAAAAGTCATAGTCAATCGATCAATAATATAATAATACTTTTAGCAAAAATGTTTATTTTCAATTTACAATCTGTAGAAACAATGAGAATAGAAGGGTTCAGAACTTTTGTAAAACATCACAGTACAGTTGAAAAATATATGGCAAATAGAAATCCAATATGGATGGTGTTAAGAGATAGATGGGAGGTGTTGAATGGAGTTGAAGGATGGGACTAATAACAACTAACAACAACTAATAACAACAAGATAACTAATGTAAAGCATACTGTGTCCATAATAAGTATATAGGTTATAGGTTGAGAGCGAGGTTTGTGAAAGAGCACAGTTAGAAAGATATGGCATATAGAAGCAAACCGGATGGACATCATGAAAATGATAGAGGAGAGGGTAGAGGAAGATATGTGTATATATGTATGTATATTTATTTATATGTACACTACCGTTCAAAAGTTTGGGGTCACTTAGAAATGTCCTTGTTTTTTAAAGAAAAGCAATTTTTTTGTCCATTAAAATAACATCAAATTGATCAGAAATACAGTGTAGACATTGTTAATGTTGTAAATGTCTATCGTAGCTGGAAACGGCTGATTTTTAATGGAATATCTACATAGGCGTACAGAGGCCCATTATCAGCAACCATCAGTCCTGTGTTCCAATGGCTCGTTGTGTTTGCTAATCCAAGTTGATCATTTTAAAAGGCTAATTGGTCATTAGAAAACCCTTTTGCAATTATGTTAGCACAGCTGAAAACGGTTGTGCTGATTGATGAAGCAATAAAACTGGCCTTCTTGAGACTAGTTGAGTATCTGGAGCATCTGTAATTGTGGGTTCGATTACAGAATCAAAATGGCCAGAAACAAAGAACTTTCTTCTGAAACTCGTCAGTCTATTCTTGTTCTGAGAAATGAAGGCTATTCCATGCGAGAAATTGCCAAGAAACTGAAGATCTCGTACAACGCTGTGTACTACTCCCTTCACAGAACAGCACTAACTGGCTCTAACCTGAATAGAAAGAGGAGTGGGAGGCCCCGGTGCACAACTGAGCAAGAGGACAAATACATTAGAGTATCTAGTTTGAGAAACAGACGCCTCACAGGTCCTCAACTGGCAGCTTCATTAAATAGTACCCGCAAAACACCAGTCTCAACATCAACAGTGAAGAGGCGACTCCGGGATGCTGACCTTCTAGGCAGAGTTGCAAAGAAAAAGCCATATCTCAGACTGGCCAATAAAAATAAAAGATGGGCAAAAGAACACAGACACTGGACAGAGGAAGATTTGAAAAAAGTGTTATGGAAAGACAAATCAAAGTTTGAGGTGTTCGGATCACAAAGAAGAACATTTGTGAGACGCAGACCAAATGAAAAGATGTTGGAGGAGTGCTTGATGCCATCCGTCAAGCATGGTGGAGGCAATGTGATGGTCTGGGGGTGCTTTGGTGGTGGTAAAGTGGGAGATGATTTGTACAGGGTAAAAGGGATCTTGAAGTAGGAAGGCTATCACTCCATTTTGCAATGCCATGCCATACCCTGTGGACGGCGCTTGATTGGAGCCAATTTCCTCCTACAACAGGACATTGACCCAAAGTACAGCTTTAAACTATGCAATAACTATTTAGGGAAGAAGCAGTCAGCTGGTATTCTGTCTATAATGGAGTGGTCAGCACATTCACCGGATCTCAACCCTATTGAGCTGTTGTGGGAGCAGCTTGACCGTATGGTACATAAGAAGTGCCCATCAAGCCAATCCAACTTGTGGGAGGTGCTTCAGGAAGCATGGGGTGAAATCTCTTCAGATTACCTCAACAAATTGACAACTAGAATGCCAAAGGTCTACAAGGCTATAATTGCTGCAAATGGAGGATTCTTTGACGAAAGCAAAGTTTGAAGGACACAATTATTATTTCTATTAAAAATCATTATTTCTAACCTTGTCAATGACTACATTTCCTATGCATTTTGCTATATTTCCTATTCAAACTCATTTCATGTATGTTTTCATGGAAAACAAGGACATTTCTAAGTGACCCCAAACTTTTGAACGGTAGTGTATATAAGTGTATATGTATGTATGTATGTATGTATGTATGTATGTAGATGTGTGTATGTATATATATATTTGCGAGAAGAAAAAAAAAACATATGGGGGATTGGAAGTGATGGAAGTTGATGGAAGTTACAATCTATCTGCAGTATTAAAGCTGATCTACCCTTCCTTAAAAAAAGGGCTGTATCCAGGCTCTCCGTGCTGCATCGTGCATAAGAACAGCCTTTAGCCGTGGTATATTGGCCATATACCACACCCCCTCAGGCCTTATTGCTTAAATATAGAAGAAGCCTGCCGTGGTGCATTATCTGGTTATATTGGACGAGGCTATCCCTAACCCTAACTGAGGAGCCAGAATACAGCCTCTGCCACCTCATAGAAAGACTGTGTGTGTGTGTGTGTGTGTGTGTGTGTGTGTGTTATTGCTTAATTGTACATACTGTTACAAAAAAATATAATGTGCAAGAAATATTATAGCCATACTTAAAGGAACTGTAGCGTTTATGTACTGTACCTTTACCTTTAAGTACTGAAATATTATAACCATACTTAAAGGTACTGTAGCATTCATTTACTGTACCTTTACCTTTAAGTACTGAAATATGATAGCCATACTTAAAGGTACTGTAGCATTTATTTACAGTACTTTAAGTACTGTAGTGGGTGTTCCATGGGATTTTGCTATCTGTTTTAACGCTTTCTGGTTTAGTCACTGTAATCAGATTACTCTTGGGTCCAGGTATAAAGACTACAGGGAGCCTCCATGGTCCAACACACCGTACGTCATCTCTAAAGAGTTCTGGGCGGTCCTGGCTGCCAGACTGGCCTTCGTCATAGTCTTCCAGGTGAGACTGATTTTGCCGAAGAGGATTTTTAGTATGGGCCTATGTTCCTCCAGGAAATGAAAAGGGTTCAACATAAACAAACAGCTGTAGTTCTTTTTTTCTTTTTTTGTTGTTGTATTTTACCCCCTTTTTCTCTCCAATTTTGTGATATCCAATTGCGATCTTGTCTAATCGCTGCAACTCCCCAACGGGCTCGGGAGAGGCGAAGGTCGAGTCATGCGTCCTCCGAAACATGACCCGCCAAACCGTGCTTTTTAACACCCACCTGCTTAACCCGGAAGCCAGCCGCACCAATGTGTCGGAGGAAACACCGTTCAACTGACGACCGAAGTCAGCCTGCAGGCGCATGGCCCGCCACAAAGACTTGCTAGAGCGTGATGAGCCAAGTAAAGCCCCCCCGGCCAAACCCTCCCCTAACCCGGACGACGCTGGGCCAATTGTGCGCCGCCCTATGCGACTCCCGGTCACGGCCGGTTGTGACACAGCCTGAGATCGAACCCGATGCAGTGCCTTAGACCGCTGCACCACTCGGGAGGCAAACTGTAGTTCTATTGTACAGTTAATCTTTCATGCCAGACTTCAGGTAATATGCAATATTCTGAGAAACACTCGCTTGGCTCTGCAAGATACGTTTACTGTAGACTTTGTGTTTCCTGCTGGTTGACCATGCTGTCGCTCACTTTCCTGTTTATGTGCGTGCCTGTTTCCTGCTGTTACCCTTCCCTGTAGAACGTGGTGATGCTGATGAGTGACATCGTGGACTGGCTGATCCCAGACATCCCTAAAGACATCAGCCTTCAGATCCACAAGGAGAAGATCCTGATGGTGGAGCTCTTCATGAAGGAGGAACAGGGCAAGATGCAGTTCATAGACAGCATGACACCTTGTGGCGGCAAGGAGAACCGCAACAACCACGCCCCTATAGCCCGCTCGCGCTCCATCCCACACACACACAGTCACACACACGCCAACAACATCTAGCAGCTACTGTAAGGTGTAGCCTAGCTAGCTAAGCCAAGGGTTACTACTGTCTGTGTCCTTATCCTTGTCCAGACATTCCATAGAAAGGGAGAGGTGCTCCCTACAAGATGTTGTTGAGGCCCAACGAGGAGAAACAGAAACTGTCCCAGTGCTCAATGCCTATCTGTCAAACCTCTCAGTGAATAACTAGCTAACTAGCTAACTGCCAACCAGTTAACTAACTGCCAACCAGTGGGGTCATGGGCTTTAAGGTCGCAAATATGCCATTTAGCTAACACTTTTATCCAATGCGACTTACAGTAGTGCAGATTATGGCGGACCATGTTCAATGAGAGAGAAAAGTTGTTTTTTAATTTTCCTTTGCATAATGCTTTCAAGAAAACATATTTTGTAACATGCTTTACAGTACAGTATGTCTGGCATCCAAGGTATTTCTATGTTTGCCTCTTTTTAAACAGGATGTAGATTATACGTTATCCTTTACTGTTATGACTCAACCATGTTCACGGTGCAAACAATCACTCTCGGAAATGCTAAATGTTTTATTCAATTACTACAGATGTTTTTTTCCTTCATGTACTTTGTTCTCAAAATATTTTTTTATTTACACATTTTATTGATTTTCATCTATTAAAAATTTATGAAATGTATGTGTGTAGAGCAAAGAATATAATCTTATTCTTAAATGGGTGACAGGTTTGTTATGTCTTTGATACAAAGATCTCAAATGTTATTAGCTACCAAGCTCATTATTAGTTACCAAGCACATTATTAGTTACCGAGCTCACAGTTGAGGGCTGGTTGTGGTCTCCCATGCTACTATAGAGTAAAAGCAGTTATTACGTGGATTGTATTATAGCTTAAGAGTCAAAAGGCACTGTATAACAGATACTGCTAAACACAGTAAAATTGTTTGAGTGACTTTACTTCAGAACATAATAAACTCAGCAGTGTTATAAAAATCCCCTGTTATAACATGTACAGTTCAGACGAATCTATCACTGCCATAATACAGACTGATACTCTGGCTTCTTCTATGCTTCAAAGCCAGCCAGGATATTATTTTGGAACTTTTAAACTGTACTTAATACTGTATATTGTTTACACGTACTTCTGTCTACTGGATATACTAAGAAATATAATATTTCTTATTCTTTACTTGCCTTTCTTCAGAAGACAAGGACACTTTGATCCTTTTATATGTCAAACTAATGTATTCATACAAAGTGAGCATCATTTCATAGCAGCATATTTTACTATATTGATACCGACTATGTTGTAAATGTTTAGGAGATCTGCCTATTCTTTTTTGATGTGACGTTAAATAAATAATGGATAAAATTGAATGTAAACAATAAATATATGTTGATGTGGGTATTGAGTGCCTTCGTTTTCTTAGGGAAGGAGGAGCAACGTACACGAAACAGGATTGGGGCCTTTGCAGTAACTTAGAATTTAAAAATAGAAGATCCGTATCAAATTCAGTAGAATCTCTTAGAACCTAGTTTGTTTACAGTCAGAGAACATGTTTCCATTCAGATGTTTAGTACAATGAATTGTTAATGTTAAACATTCATTCAACATTGAAAGGCCTACAATAGCATTTTGAATTTCAAAATAATGTGATTTTGATAACATCACCCAAAACAATGTTTACCAAGTCCTATAACTTCCTATCCTCACTTTGCAGTGATCTGGAACCTGTGTTATTTGAGATAGGCCAGACCTGACCCAGGACAGACAGTTTTAACTTCAGGAGATGGAACTAACTCAGAGGAAGCGCTTCGTGTAAATAAAGAGAAATGTTCCGTCTCTGCTGACAACCCAACTTCCTCTCCTTGATAGCACTTATGACATTTTTTAAGATGGGACAAAAGAAGCAACTTTTAATGGAAATCGTGCCTAATGATAAAAAATGTACCCTGAAGGTTTTATTTTTACAATGTGAAGACGTTCATCTTTTTTATTTAGTCTATATAGATCTGTGTATATATTTTATGAGAGGAAAATAGCACATTTCCACTGAAATAAAGCAAACTCATGGAATTCTGGATCTTATCCAGAAAACGATTTTTTTTCAATCACTAGCTAGGTTTCCAATCCAATTGGCAACAGATTTTCATGCAAATATTCTCAAATCCGCATAAAGAAAATATGTGCATTTTCACACCAGTGGTGTTTCCACCAAACTGACTTGTTGCGGATAAAGATCAGTGTGTGATGACATAGTGCACACACAATGTACTTTTTCACTTAAGTTTTGGAATAGATATCTCATGTTTCATGTGTTTCTATTCGCATTCACAAAAATATTGATAGTTTTGTCACAAAAACAGTTGCATTAAACAGCTCGCAGATACAGGTAGGCTCTGCTGGTAGGTTAGTCTACATGATGTGATTATGGATAAGAGTGAGAATATTTGTATTTGTCAAATGGCAGCATCTATCATCATGTCACCAGAATAAGACCCTCGACATTTATTGGAAAGGAGTATCAAGCTCATACCATGCACTTTCACCAGTCTGTGAAGTTCTTCATAACTTATTTAATCTGTAGCCTAATAAACTAGTGAAAGTCCTAGTGGGAGGACCACACACCATGTCATCACATGACTCCAAGTTTACTTCGATATGATGGTGATTAATTAAATATTTGCACCACCATTTCTCGCATAATATATTTTAGCGACACAAAAGGATCCCACCATGTCGAACGAAAAATTATCCGTTGCATTTATAAAATTGTAGCCGGAACGTCCTGTTTCCATCACAGCTGTCTTGATTTTTTTTTAAATAAGGTATGACTTTACTCTCATAAAAACTGTGGATGGAAACGTGGTTATTAATACTATTTTAGCTCCAAAATATTCATGCTCTCAAATGTTTTGCCAAAACCTAATGCTCTGCCTTATGGCATAGTAATAGTAATCTATGACCTAATGCTCTGCCTTATGGCATAGTAATAGTAATCTATGAATTAAAGCAAACACTCGCTGGCTTTTTTGCTTGTGTATGTGTATTTGATTCTTTCAATATTCCTACCCATCATGTGGTATATTAGTGTGGCTTTTCTATCTCACTATGGCCAAGTGTATGGATGTTACGCTACCTGTTCTCAGGTAAGTATTACCAGTGGTGTAGTGGTGTCTGGAAAAGTGGGTATAGTCAAATTTTGCCAAACATTTCCCAAAGGAAAGGCGCCCTGTGTTAAAAATTCTATGAGAAACAGTGACAAACACTCTGAATGACCTAAAATTATAAATACTTATTGGTCTTTCACAGTCAGGCCAATTCAAGCTGTACTGTGGAAGTAGGCCAATAGTAGTCCTACTATTGAAACAAATAAATGAGGCTGTCAACTGAATCAGAAATTCACAGGTTTCTGATTTTTAAAAACATGTTTTATTTTTAAAAAATAAAAAAATGGATGTTCAAAGTCCATAACAATACTTAAACCACATCAGGATCATCATTTTGAGTGTAGTTACCCTCTAATTCAAGTGCCCAGGCACCTAGCAATGTTGTTTGGTTAGCTGTGTTTCTGTAGCACATGAGATGGAGTTTGCGAAACAAATGGCCACTGGATTGATGCAAATAATCATGATATTATTCTGCCAGGTAGGCATAGGCTACTTTGTAGCTAGTTAACATTTAAGGTTTTTGGGAAAGCCTTTCCATCTACTAGAAGATGGTTAGGCCTATAATTAGCATGTCTATATTTTCCCTGTTCCTTCATTGTTTGAAATCTGGACATTTTACTTCATATTATGAGGCATGTCTTCCCTTGTTTCAAAGCAGCCTATAGCCAAAATAAATGTAGAGGCAATAATTTTATAAAGACTTCCTCATATGCGTTCTGTTCTATTGGTTTTCTTTAAACGTTATTTAATTGTTTAGAAGCCAAAGTCATTATCCTAGTCATACTAGCAACCCACGATAGCTGTTGCATCTTTAGATCTCCCCTCTTTCTAAATTGCATTTTGGAACATTCACACATAGGTGCACATTGCTGTACCTAAAATGTGAAGAAAAAAATAGTTGATCAACATTTTAAGATAAACATTCTGATCTGTTCCATCAGCCTTACTAATTGATATGGCGTACACCCCCCACTACACTACTTTGATACGCATCATGGGGATTAAGAAGTAGCACAATGCATATACTGTACCTTGTATGTACCTCTTTATTCTTTATAACCACTAGATGGTAGCAGTGATTGGTGTACAGTACTCTCTTCATCAGTGCCAGTGGGTTGGGACCTGTATTTATTTATTTTTATTTTTTATTTTTATTTAACCTTTATTTAACTATATGGCTATGTGTTGGAATCTGAGCCATAGTTTTACATACTGAACAGGCCTATGTATATCTGTAGTTCTGGTGAGGATTCAAACATAATTTACTACTCAAATACTTTCTTAGAAACACCCCACCCCACCTGTTCCCAATACTTCATCCAGCATCCACAGAGAGAGAAGGCCCTTCTAAAGACAGTCCAGTGGGGGCTGGCATGGTGGGGAGACCCCCAGCCAGTGCTCTTCGCTGGCCTCCTGAGTGGTCATCTGCATCTCATTGTGAGGCGCACCCCTTGCCTCTGCCTCCGCTCTGTTGAGGACACAGAGAGCGTCCTGATAAAGAGCCCATAGGGAGACGTGTGCATGACAACATAGGAATCCCCTGTGTGAGCATGTAGTGTCCTGTGTATAAGCATGTAGGGAGTCCTAAGACTGAGCACGTAGGTAGGGAGCCCTTTGTATGACAAGGAAGGAGTCCCCTGTGTGAGCATGTAGGGTTGTCCTCAGAAAGGGAGTCCTTTGACTGAGCATGTAGGGAGTATAGAGCATAGCACGTAGGCAGGGAGTCCTGTTGTGGACCACATAGGAAGTCCTCAGTGAAAGCACGTAGGAGTCCACTTAGGTAGGGAGTCTTTCTGGTGAAGACCTAGGGAGTCCTGAGACTGAGCATATAGGGAGTTCTCTGTGTGATCATGTAGGGAGTCCTGTGTATAACAACGTAGCAGTCCTGCCTAAGTAGGACAACTTACTGGAGAAGACCTTGGAGTCCTGTGTGGGAAAACGTAGGCCAGGGTGTCTAGGGAGTTATTGGAGGCTTGCGTTCATTTCCCACCACTGCCACCAATTGTTGTAAGTAGGCATGTGGGGTAGTGGGGTAGTGTTGGATCTGGTCAGGCCAGTTTTGCATTCAGGAGTTATTCATAGATTTCCTCTGTGCCAATGGGAAGTAATGTGAATAGCATGAGTGCTTTCAATCCATTGAGTGCAGTGTGTTTACCCAAAGCATTGGCATCCTCTGTTCATGATGTCCAAAGACACCAATATTCCACATGAGGGCGGTATAGAAGCCATGGAACATTTTCTTCTGCAACATGACCCGAAGAACTACCCTCCAGTGCATACATTATAACATTGGCTGAAATAGTACTCACACACAACTACTTCATGTTTCTAAATGATTTCTTTATTCAGATGAAGGGTACTGCTATGGGATCCCCTATGGCTCCTAACTATGCTAATTTGTATGTGGGTTACATTGAGAAACAGTCAATTTTCAATCCTCTCAAAAACGTTTTCTTGCCCAACATTATTATTTGGAAACGGTACATTGATATTTTTGTTTTCTGGAGGGGTAATGCAAATTATCTCCAGGCATTCCATGCTTTTCTGAACTCTTGTTCTGAGCACCTGAGATTCACTATGCAATCTGACACACCTCAAATCAGTTTCTTTGATCTTTTGATTTTGTGTGAGGATAATGTTCTATACACTGATCTTTACAGGAAACCCACTGATTGTTTGTTGAGGGCTGAAAGCTGTCACCTGCTTCCCTTGAAAAACAGTTTGCCCTACAGCCAATTCTGTCGAATCAAAAGAATTTGCAAAAAACAATCAGATTTAATAGAAACATGTCTGAGATGGAAAGAAAATTCAAGAAAATGATGACAGTATCTGTAACGTGTTTTCGGAACCCTCCCTTGGTCGTATTCTCGCGGGGCAGAAATCTCAGAGATCAATTGGTAAACTCTGATTTACTACCCCCCAAAATAAAATTATGTATTTATTTTATTTTTATTTTGTTATAAATTCATGCTTTTTTAGATGTTCTATTTATATCTGTAAATCAACCAATGAAATCAAGCCACACCCGACCGTGATTACAGACACCTGTATGTCCTTTCAAACTATATAAACTTGTGACCCACAGTGTTTGTCATTATACCCTGGTGAAGATAGCTTGTCTGTTGAGCTCCTAGAGTGTGAGACTCTCCTTTTTTTTCTGAAGTAACAGCTTGGGACAAATTAATGATGAGTACCACTACAACTCTTGCTTTCATTCTTCCTATGTAATCAGGGACT